CCCCCCTATCCTTACCACGCATCTTGTCTCCTCATATATTTCTTTTACTCTTTCTATCAGTACATCACTGATACCCCTTCTCCTCATCATTTCCCATAATACCTTCCTATCTATTTTATTAAACGCTCCTTTTAGGTTTATAAAAAATGCCCACACCTTCTTCTTCTCCTTTAGTCTTCTTCCTACTAGGTGTTTTAAGATCTTAATATTTTCTATTGTTCCTCTTCCTTTTCTAAATCCTGCCTGCGTTCTGCCCCATCCTCTTTTCTCGTCTAGCTCTTTCACCAACTTTTTATTTAAAATGTTCGCATATATCTTATACGCAGTGCTTGTAAGCGTGACACCCCTGTAATTCCCTACCACATTTTTATCCCCTTTTTTCCATATCGGAACTACCACTCCTATTCTCCATTTTTCTGGGAATCCCTCTCCCTCCCAAATCTTTCTATAAATTTCCTCTAACTTTACACTTACTTTACCTCCCCCCATCATCCATGCTTCATTTCTTATCCCATCAATCCCTGCCGCCTTACCCTTCTTTAATCTTTTTATTTCTAATCTTATTTCCTCTCGACTTATCCCTTCGTCTTTTCTAACTTCATTCAGTCTTTCTCCTTTTTCTACCGTTTTCTCGTCAACTCCCTCTAATGCTGTCTTAAAATACTCTACCCACTCCGTCCTTTTAATTTCCTTACTTATTCCCTCCTTTTTCTTCCTTCTCCTATTTATAAATTCCCATGCCTGTGCTTCTGTTGTAATCTTTTCTATCTCTCTCTCCTCAAGCTTCTTATGCTCTACTTCTTTCTTTTCACATATATCCCTATATTCCCTTCTTTTTTTCACAAATTCCTCATATCCCGACTTCCTTCTCCTATATCTTCTCCCCGCCCTATTAACCTCTCTCTTTTTCTCCCTACACTCTCTATCCCACCATGGTACCCAGCCTACCTCTTTCCTTCCCCCTCTCCTCTTCATTTTAGGTGCTCTTTTCATTACTTCTTCCATTTCTTCCCATCGTCCTTCCCCCTCTCCTTTTTCCCACTCTACGTCCTCTATATTTTTCCTAAATATTTCTATGCCCTCCTCTGACCAATCCTGTATCATCTCTGCCTCGCTCTCTTTTTCCTTCTCCTGCCTTGTATATTCCTTTCCTAACTCTATCATTATTGGCTGGTGATCTGATTCTGCCCTGCACCCTATTTCAAAACATCTAATTTTCTCTTCTGCCTCCAAATTTACAATTCCATAATCTATCACTGATTTCCCTCCCGCTTTTTCAAACGTCCACTCTCCTTCTTCATCCCCTTTTTTCCACCCATTTAGTATCAACCATCCTCTTTCTCCTACTACCTTAACCAACTCACACCCTTGTTTATTTAACACTTCATCTTTCGACCTCCGTTCTTTGCCATTTTCTCCTTTTTCTTCGCCAATCTGGTCACAAAAACCCCCTTCCTTACCAATTCTTGCATTAAAGTCTCCTACTATTATCATATTTTCTTCTTCCCTCTCTCCTATCATCTCTTTTAATCTATCTAATTCTTCCTTACTTCCCTCTTTGTTATAGAATGTAACAATTCTCCACCTCTCCTTATCTACAACAACCTCTCTCTGCTGTATCCCTTCTACTTCCTCTTCAATTCTACTTCTTTCCTCTATTTCATTCCTTATCCCCATTATTATCCCTCCCATCGCTCTACCTCTTTTCTTTTCCCTCCTTGCTGGCTGACATTTCCATCTCCATCCATCTGGCATTTTTCTTTTATCTTCCCCCACCCAGCTTCTTCCACCCATGTCTCAGTCAAACCAATCACATCGTAATCTTTCAAAAAATCCCAAAAATCTTCATCTTTTCTCTTTAATCCTGCGATGTTCCAGAATACCCCTTTTATACTTCGTTTCTCTCCCTCTTCCGTTGCTTTTCCCTTCTGTTTCCCCCCCTCTCTCTTTTTAACCCAATTGTGAGCACGCTTGCTTAAAAAATCTTTTCATTCATACACTTGCGCTCTTCACTCCACACATATTCTTTACCATTCATCCATGCTTTCCCAAAGCCCACTTTTACTCGCCTACCTCTCTCTTTCTCTCTCTTCGCCCAAAGTCTAATCTCCTTCTGTCTTTCTCTTTCATCCTTCGTTAAATCATCGTCTACATATATTTTCGTACCTGTCAATTTATTTCTCCTAATCATGATCTCCTTTTTATCATCCAAACTATTAAGTTTCACAAGCAGCACACTCTCATTCGTTCTATCATTCATTCTATCATTCATTCTATTCCCTATCTTGTAAACTTCTCTTATTTTTATTTCTTTATCTAACCCCCCTAATTTTTTCAAAACCCCTACAGCAGCATCTTTCATATTTCCCCCCTCTACCTCTACACCCCGCATAACTACATTTAGTCTTCTATCTCTTCTTTCTTGATCATCTCTTCTTTTTTCTATTTCTTCCACTCTTTTCTTCAAATCTGCATTTTCTTCTTTGAACTTCTCCATCTTTTCCCTTTCCTCCTCCTTAAATTTCTCAAATTCTAATTTTATTTGCTTCATCTCTTCTTTTAATTCTCTTCTTATTATCTTCATCATATCATCTTTATGCCGCTGCAGTTGTCTTTCCATCATTTTTTCTATCTCCTCTAAATTCGCCATTTTCTTCTCCTCTGAATTTCCCTGCTGTTCTGGCGATTTTCCTGCCTTTCCTTCCTTCTTTCGTTTCGCGGCTTGCTGTTCGCCTTCACTGTCTTCCGACTCACGCGCTCTGCCCCTTCTCGAGAACCACGAGCTTGGAATGCTCGCTACACTGCTATCCCTCCTTTCCCTTCCTAGCAGCTCCGCTTTCGTGGGTCTTCTTCTCTTCCCCGCTCCCTTCTCTCCACTCGTATTTCGCCTCTGACGTTCACCGTCGTCGCCGTCCTTCGATCTTGTTCCCCACTCCTCCCCTGACTGTACCCACCTTTCCGCTCGGCTACTACTAGACTCTTCCGTGGCTAGGAAGGTTCCTTCTCTCTCTTTCTCCAAACTCTCGCTCATTCCCCACTCCCGAGACGCACTCGCGCTTCGTGACGTTCTATCCCTGCTTATTCTTCTCCGACTCTCACCGCGCCTCTTCCCCCCTTTTCTTCCGTCACTTCCCTTTGCTTCGCACTTGCGCACCTCGGTTTTTCTGCCACGTGCGCCGAGCCTAATTACTTTTTACCTTCCGACTTATGCAAGGCTCACCCAATGCACTCCTTTTGTCCACTCCTTCTTTTATGCACCCAATACAGGCTTTCAGGCCACCTGGATCACGATGTTCTCGGTTGGAGCTATGACAGTTGTAGGTTAGGTTCCCCTTGGTCCGTCTTCTTTTTCCACAATTAGCCCGCTTCCTGATGGAGCGAGCTACTTTTTGCCTAGCTCTCGGTTTAACGACTCTCGTCCCTATAACAAAAACTCCCCGCAGGGCAATTCCTCTGCAGCTACGAAATCTTTAATTTTCCTCACGAAGTGCACAGAATACGTCTTCTCTGTAACTCACCTCGACCGGAAGTCCCACTGCGGATAATACCGTCCCTCCATCTCCGGAATGACTGGCGAGAATGAAGAAAGTACAGATGTGCTGAAAAGGGTCATCGAACGGCTTGTCCACAAGATCCTGGCACGTCAGCTAGAAAAGGAGGACACCAAATTAATGCCCCCAACAGACGGGGAAGGAAGCGAAGGAGGGACGCGTCCTCACCGGAAGAAGGCGCAGGAGAATCCGCGGACCGCTGTCACGGGCCGGGCGGTATCCTTGGTCGTCGGTCGTGCCGACCCAGGGTCCTGGGATGGAACCGGGAGCACCTCGGGTATCTCACGAAAAGACTCCCGGGTGGCCGGGGCGAGTAAGAAAGAGGGGACCGACTCGGTTACTGCTAAAGCATGGACGACGGTGGAAGGCCGAAGGGGGCGGGTGGGGGCCCGGAAAGGGACCACGCCTGACCACCCCCCCGCAAAAGGCCGACGCGAGGATGAAAAGGGGAAAACCCGAAAGTGTAATAAGTTTGACAGGTGGGCGCGCAGGAGCTAGGGGAGCCCGCGGGAAAAACAACCTGACGGAGCTTTCTTGAGGGGAGTCAAAGTCCGGCCGCCACGCTGCGCGGCCGTCATGGTAATGGCTCTAAAGATCGGCGACGTCCGGCGATCCCCTGCTGGGATGGGTGCCGTTTGAGTGTGCTGTCCAGTTGTGGCCGCGAAAAGAATCGCGGAGCTGGGCAGAATCACCGTTGGATGGGTGAGTGCGCGAGTGCAACTTCTGCGGCCGAGGCCCTTGCAATGCTATCGCTGCATAGAGCTGGGCCACGTGCGGCGAGGCTGCACGAACCCGGTGTACAGATCGGGGACCTGTTACAGATGTGGCAGCACCGGGCATCTCGCCACCTTTTGCGAGCTGCCCGGCCTGTAAGGAGAGAGACTTGCTCGCCGAGCATCGCATCGGCGCGATCGGGAGCTGTGCGGCGATCCAAGCAGCCGGGAGGAAGAAAAAGACGGTGGCCACCGGCCGCGGCTCCACACGTGGTGGAGCTGCGGCTGGCGGGACCGTCATACCCTCGTCCACGACACCGGCAAAGACGTCGGGCGAGGGCGAGATGACAACGAAGATCGTGGTGATGATCACCACGATGGATCCCCCATCCGTCCCATGGATGTTGACGCCGCGGAGGAGGCGGACGCGGCGAAGACGCAATATCAGGAATAGGCGTCTGGCTCTTGCAAGCAAACCTGAACTATTCCTCGGGGGGACAGTACATGTTCGTCCAGTACTCTCCTGGAGAGTGGTTCAGGTCTGGGAATAATCGCGGACCCGTACGTTGTCCCGTGCTGGCTGGGCGACGATTGGGAGTCTGTCGCGATTGTCTGGAGCAGCGTGAATAGCTCTCCACCGTTTTCCATGGTGAGGGTGGAGGAGGGTTTATCCTAATAGAGTGGGGTGACCTCTTAGTGATGGTGTGCTATCTCGTACCCAGCCTCCCAATGGTAGATTACGAGGAGCGATTAGAACGGATGGGGGAGTGCCTTCGTAGGCACCTCCCCTGTCCCATACTTGTGGGGGGAGGGGACTTTAACGCCCACTCGGCGTTATGGGGATCCCCCCACATTAAGTAGGGGTAGAGAGGTGGAGGGGTGGACGGCAACCCTTGACCTCTGTCTCCTTAATCGGGAGGTCACTTTACTTTTTCGGGTAGCGTGGGGAGTCCATCGTGGACCTCACGTGGGACCTCACGCTTGCGATGGACAGGATGAGTGGCTGGCGCTTAACCCCCCCGGCCGCCTCGGTGACCATCACCTGGTCGAGATGATCGTGACCACAGCTCGCGCGCCGGTCCTCTCCCTGCCAGACTCTTAGCAGCGGGAGGAGAGGACGGAGAGGGAACGTCCCCGTTGAAAGCTCTCCGCGCTGGACCCCGACGACCTGCTAATCTCATTGGAGACTGCGACGTGGGCGGAGGGGTCGGGCGATGAGACCGCAGTAGAGGATGGGGCGAGGTGGCTCCGGGTAGCGTTGACCGATGCGTGCGACACTGCCATGCCTCGAAGTCGCCCGGCGCCGCTCCGCTCTACCTATTGGTGGTCAACGGGCTTGGCGGAGCTCCGCCAGCCGTCATAGTGGCGAGGCGCGCTCATCTCCGCATGAAACAGTGACAGCGCGCGACGGAAGGTGGCCCGTGCGCATAATGCTCTGCGGGAGATCCGTGGAGTGCTGCGCCTGGCCATCCGAAATGCCAAGCGTGGAGAGCCCTTCTGGCTACAATCAACACGAGTCCCTAGGGGTAGCCGTATAAGTTGGTCCTGCGGAAATTGCGATCATGGACGCCCCCAGTGACCGAGGTGTTAAACCACGGCTACTGACGGAAGTCATGGACACTCTCTTTCCCGTAACTAGGGCTTTGGGGATCCCGCCGTACTCGGGCTGTCCCTCGGACTGGAGAGAGAACCTGCTGGAAATCAGCGCCGTGGAGATGACCCGGACGGTGAACCGACTGAGTGATCGCTTGAGGGCACCGGGACTGGACAGAGTGCAGGGAGGGAAGTTGAAACGGTTTTTCAGCCTCTGCCTCAGCCAGGGACGTTTCCTCCGTGTGTGGAAGATTGCGTATTTGGTGCTCCTTCGCAAGCAAGGGCGCTTCGTGGGGGAGCCATCGACCGATCTGCTTACTGGACGACATCGCAAAGCTACTCGAACGCGTAGTGGCGGAGCGAGTCGTCCAGCACTTGTTCATGGAGAGCCCGGATTTATCACCGGGGCAATACGGTTTCCGTTCAAGGCCGTTCCACCGACGATGTTATTCGTCAGGTGCGATCTCTGACAGGGGCCATAACCACCGATGGGAGGGTCGCGTTGGCGGTGTCATTAGACATTGTCAACGCGTTTAATACCCTCCCGTGGGGCAGAATCGTGGAAGAGCTACATGCGCACAATGTGCCGGCATACTTGATCGCCATTATCAGCGATTATTTCAGAGACAGGGCGTTGGAGTTCTGCTGCAAAGGAGGATACTGGTGCAGTAGCTCTGGTGCGGTGTTTCGCAGGGATCCGTCCTGAGTTCGCTCCTGTGGAACATCGCGTACGACGCGGTCCTTTCCCCCGGGGGGCGCTTTCCCCCGGCTGCCACCTGGTCTGCTACGCGGACGATATCCTCATGATGACCGAGGGAAGGGATTGGGACGCGGCGGTTATGAGCGCCAACATCGCGGTGCAATGCGTGTTGCGCTCCATAGAGGGACTGGGGCTGAAGGTATCTTCCCACAAGACAGAAGCGTTGTTTCTGCACAACGTGGCTTG